GTTTAAATCTAGGCAGTTGCTAGCCCCAGATCCTTCCTTGCACCTCCATCTCCAGTGTAGGCACAGGCGTGGAATGAGGCTGCTTGTCATGACTCTGCCTCTTCCGATCTCATAATTTCACACAGTAACTTCAGATACCTGAAGTCAGACAAGTCAGCTCAAACCCTTTCTACATATATAGGCTGCTACACAAACATCTGAGAGTGTGTAGTGCTTTAGCTTGCTTTCTGGATTACATTTCATTGAGTAGTACTGACAGAGATCTGTTTAGTACAAACAGATCACACAACTCTTATCAGAAGTCAGATTAAATAAATGTCTAGCAGAAAATAGTGTCTGCCTTGAACTCTTTTCCACTAGCACTGAACACACTGTTCCAGCAGACATCTTACACTGTGCACATAGGCAAGATCACTCCCCTACTTCAGCCCAATATTCCATTTCTTCTACATTAGTTCTCTTAACCACAGTCTTGGTCTAAGAACTCATATTAAGACATTCTCTACTATGGGTATTTAGTTTCCAAAACAGTTTCCCATCCTGATGGCAGAGCTTTATTATTTGTCCCAGATGTTTTTCTTTGAGTTGGACTGTACATTTTAAAATGTTACTATTTGCTCCACTGAGTCTTTTTTTCAAGATATGCTTCCTATGAAAATATCCTGATAACTATTAGTTATATTTTTAACATCTGATTTGTGTTGCCATGGTCCCAAATTAATTATTATATTATTTTGCCCAAGACCAGCATGAAGCAATGCTTCCCTTTTTCTCTTTTTTATATATTATAATGATAATCATAGTCTTCTCATCTTTCCCTCATTTTCCAGTATTTCTGAAAGATGATGAGAGGATTTTTCAGGTAATTCTCTAAAGACATCTAATGTAAACCATTGTCATGAAAATGGTTAGCTCCAGCTGGCCTTCTTTCTAGCATTTGTGTAACGTTTGAGTTAGATCTACTGATATTATACAACCCATCTGAACAGAAAAACAGGATCAACACATTTGATAAGCAAACTTGCCTCAGCTGGCAAAGTACAGATGCTCTTTAAGTCACAGACAGAAGCATTACCAGCTATGTGCCTGCGTTAATGAAATCACGTAGTATTGGGATTACAGGGCCCAGCTCTGCCTCTGCCTCATTCAGCATTCCTTTGACCTCAGAGGGTGATGTGATTCAAAACAAAAACATGGCCTACAGTTCCTGAAGCAGTATAATGTATTGTCTGCACTTTGTTGACCTCTGAAAGCCCACTGCCAAAGCAGAAAGAAAAATTCAGCCGCTTCAAATTGAATTTAGAGAGATTTAGGCACCAAAACTCTCCAATTCAAAATAACTTTGCAAGAAGCTCATCTAAACCTAATGAACATAGGATCACAAAATATCTCTTTGGTTTTCATCCCAAATGTCCATGAGTGCTTTCAGTAAGTCCTGGTCTGAGCAATGATCCAGCCTAGTTTTGGACCAGCATCGTCCAGGTGAAAATCAGGGTGCAGAAGCATGCCACTTTCCCACAGAGGCAAATTTTGCAAGTATATGCAATACTACCAAATGATGACCACATAAAAATAGCAAAAGTGCATGAGGTGACTGTTGAGTAAGAATTCACATAGTGCAAGAATCCTTGTTCAGCCTTTTAATTATCACACACAAAGAAGAAACAAACAAACAAACAAACAAACAAAAACCACCACCAACAACAAAAGAAACCAAAAAGTAGATGTTCCACTCCTTTTGCCACCTAGGATGACTGCAGCCTCTGACATTCTAGAAGTCCTGCTTACTTCCACTCTGTTAAGGGATGGGTCAAAAGAAAAGCGAGGAGTGAAATCCTTCTTGCTGAAGCTGAACTATGGCACAGAAGAGAAGGAAAATTCATGGAATCAGAAAATCATATACAACGCTGCACCATCAAGAAGGTCAAAATTGAGACTCGGCCCCTGCTGGCAGCATGAATAAACCACTTGTGTTGAATGATGCAAAGGGACCCTTGTACCCACTGCTGAGCTCTAGGCAGTTCTGTCCTGAGTACATTATGGTTTTTGCTTGTTCTTCTGAAGTGCTCAATTCTGAACAGAGGTATTTGGATACTTAATTAGGAAGGTGGGACCTTTACTGTAGTGCTTTCCTGCTGTTATTCTGACAGCTCAAGAGCAAAACTGCTATACTGCAAGAAAGCAAACTAGAAAGCAGCATTTGCAGATGTCTAGAAACAGTGTGCCATCAGATAGAACAAATAAACTTGGAAAACCAAATTTCACAGAAAGTTTTGCAAAAACGTTAGCTAAAGCTTTTCTCTTAGCAATTCAGATGTGGAAGTGGCAATGCACTGAGTTGCTTCTGACTGTGCTGATGGACACAGCTAATTGCTGGCCAAACTCATCAAAACTCTCTGCTGCATCAAAAACCCACTCCCCCTCTCACTGAAAAGATTCAGAGATGACAGGAAAACATACTCTGTGATGCTCTAAAATTCACCCTGTCCTCTCTCCCTTCCAGGCTTTTCTGGAAGAACACTCCAGCAAAGCCTGGAACAAAACCTGCTTCATATACCTTGCTCCCCTTTCAGGAAAGCATAAGGTCTAACCCCAGGGCCTGGCGCAGAGCCCAGCTTCCCCTGGCAGCTCCTGGAGTCCAGACTCTCCTGCTGAATCTGCAGCCCTCTGTGGCTTCCTGGAGAGCTGTTATTTTTCAGGAGGGAGTAACGCAAGAAAAAGGTAAAGAAGACACTGTGTTCTGTAGGTTTTCTGAGGCCTTTATAAATGTATAACATTTTTTCTTTCCACAGCAAATACAGATTTCTTCAGAATTACACACTGGTTATGAAAATTAGTTTTATAGGTATTGCAAAGATGCTGCTGGTTTGTAAAAGACATAAGAGAGGAATAAGACTGATATCACATGTTCATGTCAAGTATGTGTTCCTCCCAGTACTGATGATTAATTAGTGCATAGTAAAAATATTTTAATAAGCTGAAAAGTGACTTAATGTTTCAATATTTATTAGATATACATGACTGTAAGGGGGGGGAAGTTTGCTTGGAAGTTAATGATTGTTTCATGATTTATGATAAGGCTATAAATCTCTATGCCAAGAGAAGAGGAGATCAAAGGGAATCACATCCCATTATGAACCCTGAGGCAGCCTGAAGACTTCATTTCTTATATCTTGTTTCTTAGCAAGGCAAAAACTTGAGCCTGAAATGGAAAAAGATGAAACAGGCTCTGACAATTGAATCATCAGCAGTAGCTCCTGAGCTGAGTTACTATGGCAATGGCAGTGCTGCTGCACAGCTTCTTCTTACTCTTACTACTGGTACAAGAGCTTTGCAAATGTACATGGGAAATTTCCACCCCACGTGTGCAGTGGGTGGCAGGAGGAGCCCATGGTCTCAGGTGCCCTGGTGCCTACTGAAAGGAAGAGCAAATTTGTGTTATTAAAATATGTGATTTGCAATTTTCCATGGAAACAGTCTTGGAGGAGTAGGGAAAGGTCCTGGATTCTTCCTGCATTTTTGTGCCTTGGGAAGGTAGATTCCAGTGCTCAGAATATATTTTATAAGCACACAGAATCTTTAATAAAGGAATTTTAAGCCTTTTTTTCAGCAGTAACTATCTCACTTCTCTGAATTATAGATGTCTTGACACTGCCAGGGGAGGATGGTATCATCTTTTTGGCAGAGCATAGCTTGGAGCTCTACATAAGTAATGGATCTAATTCTGATGCCAGGTTAATAAATTAGTAATTATAGCTCTTTAGATATGCAACAATCAGTGTCAGTACTCAGCAGTGTCCTCTTTCCTCTTCGAGGTCTAGATGAACGCATCACCTTTCCTGTTACTGCCGATATGTTCTCTGCACACATTAAAGGCACATTTGCTCTTAATTATTTTTGAGACAGTATTTAATATTTATGCTCTAACAGCAAACAGAAGTTCCCAACAGGAATTGGGGCCCTTTATAGGTGCCATGGGAAAATTAACTCTATCCTAGATGAAACCGGGACAGTAGGAAGCATACAAAGGGAACCTTGGCCCAAAAATACAATTGCTGAAAGTATAACTTATGCAAGCTCACTAACTCCTATAAGTAGACATCTATGTGGAACCTCAAATGAACTTCATATCAAAAATTTCATCATTCCTTTTGTGGAAAAGCAGTCCTTTTCAACCACTGTGTTCATATGCATACAGGCCAGATTGCAGCCCTGCTAATGCATGCTCTGGGGAGCAGATGAACAAGGTTGCATGTGCATTAATCAATAGAGGGGTCATGACAACTACTTCAATGAAAGGTAATAGAGAAAATACTATCATTAAATATACTATGCCATGTACTGTCTGAGAATTAAGTACATTTTTATGTCTGAGAAGCAAGTTTTTCTACTTTTTCTATATTTGTGTTCCATAAATAAATGTTACTGAATAATAAGAGGAAGAAATTCTTTACTGTGAGGGTAGTGAGACACTGGAACAGGTTGCCTGGGGAGGCTGTGCATACCCCAACCCTGGCAGTGTTCAAGGCCAGGTTGGATAAGGACTGGAGCAACCCGGTCTCGTGGCAGTGGCATTGGCATTAGATGAGCTTTAAGGTTCCTTCCAACCCCTTAACATTCTGTGATTCTATGAATAAGGAGCAGGGAAAATCTGACGACGCATTTTGCTATTTATATAACATCCATAGTATCTGTACTGGTAACATCTGCCCTCTGTTACGCATCTGCTTTGGTACCTTAACACCGCACACACAGACGGCACTCTGCCTGCCCTCATTTCTGTATGTTTACGTTCCTTTCTGCCTTTCGCGGCCCGGCCCGGCAGCAGGGGCCGGCGGAGGGCAGGCGGCGGGCGGACAGCGGGGTCCCCTCCGGGACATCCCAGTGACAGCGGTTCCGAGGGGATGCCGCTGCCTCCCGGGCGGGGGGACGCGCCCCATCCCGCACCTGCCCCGCGCCCTTGGGGCGGCGAAGCGGGCGCTGCGGCGGCGGCACCACGTGTCGGGGCGGGGAGCGGCGGGGCCGGGCGGGCGCCGCCACCCCCAGCGCCGCAGCAGAGCAGAGCAGAGCCCGGCTCAGCGCATCCCTCTCGTCCATGCCAGGTGCCTGTTCCCGGCCGCGCCGCGACTGAGGAACGATGGGGCCCCTGCGGGAGAGCAGCAAGGTGAGGAGCCGCGGAGGGACGGGGCGGCGGGGAGCGAGGAGAGGCAGGGGCAGGCAGATCTCGTCTTGCCCCCGCCCTGGGGGGCGGGAGGGGGGGCCGGGATTTGCCTGCCCCTGCCTCGATGATGGAAAGAGGAGGGCACATCCGAGAGGTCCCTGACGCCGGGGTGTCCCTTCCCGAGCAGGAGCAGAAGACGCAGCTGGAAAGGGAGGTGTCCCGCAGCCGCATCCCCCGCCTGGTCCTCCGGCCGCAGCAGAAGGTATCCCCAGCTTCCGAATCGCCCTTTTCGGAAGAGGAAAGCCGGGAATTCAACCCGCCCAGTTCCTCCGGGCGCTCTGGCAGGACCATCAGCAGCAACAGCTTCTGCTCAGGTACCGCAGAGAGACCCCCCTGCCGCGGTGTCCCCGGGGGACACGGTGTGCCCACCACGCCGACCCGCGAGGGTTCGCTGTCATACCGAGACGCAGGATCTGTGTGTCGGGCTCGCATCGAGCCCGGATGAGCAACCCGCTTTGCAGATGAAGAAGAGCAACCATTGATTTTTCCAGGGAAATCTAGTATCTGTTCTTTTAATATGTGTCCGTAAGCTACACCAGATGTTTCCATTTCGAGTTCTGCTATACGCCGCTAAAAAAGTTGACGGTTTATTGCAGCAAAAGAGTTGATTTAAAGAGAGAGATGTGCCTTAGAAACTGGAACATGGGTTTGAGGCATTTTGAAAGCCCTTAAGTCAAGCGTCTGTAAAACCCAGGAGTTGCTTTTAAGGGTATCAGACTGCAACTCCTTTTGGTTTTATGACGATCTCCATGAATCGGAACAATATGTTGAAGTTTTCACTGGCCATATTGAAGTAAGTTTTGTTTATTTTAGAATTTAGGTTTCTCCTGATGAGTGTGTTGCCAGACAAGAGTTGGGCATGATGGATTCTCCACAGAGAGGGCAATGACTGGGTGATAGATCAGAAGTAAATTATTACTCTGCAGCTGTGGACCACAAAAGTGTCATTTGCTATTCAAAATCAGTACATCCCATTATGTGAGAGACAACTTAAAACCAGATTTTTTATGTTAAATATTTGCCCTTTGTACAGTTTAGCACATTTTAAGTGCCTCAACTAGCAGTGAAAGACTCAGATGCCTACTAGTGGTGAGTGATTTTTTAATTCAGTGAAACTCTCCACCATGTATGACATTATGCACATGGGCAACAAAATTGAGGGTCACATCATGGACACCTTGGACTCTATATGCATATGGTAATTTTAAAGGTATGTGGTTGTCCAGAAATTTGTTTTCAGTAGTCAGTATTTTGGAGATCATAACATTTTTAGTGGTGGACTTGGAAGTGCTAGGTTAATGGTTGGACCCTATGACCTTAGAGGTCTTTACAACCTAAATCTTTCTATGATTCTGTGATTTTCTAAGTAAAAATCTGAATAATAACATGTATATTTGTAATAGTTAATATCAGAGCATGTTCCTTTTTTCTATTCATAAAATATTTAATTTACCAGAGATTTTCCTGGGAACAGACTGAAATGCTCATATTTATCTTGGTCTTCACTACAGTGGATCAGATTATTATTATTTTTTAAATTCCTTTGACGAAAAACAGTGTATTGAACATAGTGTGCAAGTTTTCGTAGATGAGAAACACAATATCTATGTATGAGTCTAGCTTTGCCAGATTTTGCAATTCAGTCTCAGTGGAATGATCTATTTGGTTATTGTTTAATGAACAATGCAGTGTGTTAAACAAACATCATAGAATTGTAAGAATGCTGAAGTCTCTTTCCCATGCCTTTTTAATCCCTCCACCTTACCTACTTGAAAAGCCATTTTTGCCTCTTCCAAAGAAATAAAATCTTTTGAAGCTTTCTGGAAATACATTATTTTTTATGATCTCTCCCAAATGGCTGCTTTTCATCCATTTTTTTTTTCCCGGTGTGTTGACAAGCCTTTCATCTGGATTATTGACATTTTTTTCATCTTTTGAGTTTGTACCATGTTCTTCAGATCTACTCAACATGTAGCTGCCAGAGTCATATACCCTTGCTGTCCCACTGCACTACATAGGCTGCATTGTATTAGCCTGGGTGTGTCTGATCTCATGGCTTGACAGTTTTAGGGCACCTTTCAAAGAAGTACTGGAGAGTACAGTGCTGGTCTCTTAACCTGCATCTCAAGCACAACTGCTCACCTCTTTTATTTCTTTTATTCAACTTTTATTATTCCATGAATGCTGCATTGATTTAGTTTGATTTTTTTCCCCATACTGATAGCTTTGTGCTTCTAAAGCTGCCTACCCAGTTTGACAGTGCTGTGAGCCTTCAGACCTTCTGCAGCCAATGATCAGCCAAGGCATTGCTTTCCATGTCAGTTGTTGCTAGGTTTGATGAATTTTTCACTGTGATGCAGGTATGACAACAGTCACTGACTTGATTTCCTCATTCTCTGACACCTCTTCCCTATCTTCCACTTATGATCCTTCTTTATCATAGTATGTCTAGTTTAGATTGAAATTCGCCATCAGAAGCAGGTGGCTGCTGGTTTCTGTTTCTGGGGAGGGGATGGTGAAGAGCTGTATGGAGAAGTGAGTGGAGGGGCTTCAGCCTCTACCCTGGCTCTCCTAGTGCTTCATCTTAATTGAAAGTGGCTTGTGCAGAAACTGTATTTAAAATTAACAAGTAATACATTGGAAGAGGTGAGCAGATGTATCATATGAGCAATAATGTAGCACTATGAAAAATTAATGAGCCTTTGGATCATTGTGTTTTTTGTAGCTTCTTTGGAACGTTGAACTCCAAAATGTTCTTGATAAGCAGCAGATAGTATGAATTGATCCCTGGAATAATTCCTTACCTATTTACCCTTGTCTTTTCAAGTTGTTCTCTACTTTTCTTCCATTATTATTGACACCAAGTAGTTATGATCAGTAGATTTCTTTTTGCCCCAGTAGAAGTGGTATTTTTTCTCTTCATCCATTAAGTATGTATTTTCTACTTGATTCCCTAGAGCTTCTGGTGTTGTCCATTTTCCCTGTGTGCTTACATTGGTCACAATTCATAAGTGAACGCTTAGAGTTCTTTCTTTCTAAAGGAGAGCAGGGGGATTCTCTAGGTATTATTAATGTTATTTTAGGAACCATGGCAGTGCTGCAAGCATGGTGGCAACAGCAAAAAATACCTCTTGGCAACAGAAAAGAGACAGTTTTCGTAATGCTTAGTTTCTTTTGAAGAAGTTGTTAGTTCTGGCTGTGATAGGTTTTAAATTTGCATGATCAGCTCCCTCTTTGTCTTGTTTAACCGGATCAGAGACTCACTTGACCATGTTGGTCAATTATTTGTAGTTGACTTTATGTCAGCTTTGCTTTGTAAGTCCATATGAAGCACGGTGAGACTGTTAGTCTTCTCTGTGATATTCCTGATGAAATGTGTTTTTAATATGCTTTGTTTCTGCCAAGTGAACATGGATGCTGTCTGGATGTTGTGTAGGCAAGCTAAGCCTTTGTACCAGTATTCACCGTGCACAATCCTTCCTTAAAATCTTAGAGCATCTGGGGTCCTGGCTGTCATTTGGTATGGGAGCACTTCTCTTCTACAGCTTGGATGTCGGCCACAGGACTTGTATGATGTCAAACGATGAAAAAGCACTCTCCCAGCAGCTTTGTCTGGCTCAACTGCTACTGAGCATTTGCCCGTGTCATGCCTGTTTTTCTCATAAGTTGCACTTGGCTGTGTGCTCTTACCTTGTCAGTCAGGCAGAGAACACAATTTAAAGCATCCCAAACAAGCCATCTGCTGATGGATCTGTGGCAGAGGAGATGCTGGACCTTTGGTCACTCCAGTTACAGTGTTTGCCCTGTAAGAAATGTGAAACTTTGCGCAAGGTTTTATCCTTGATTTTGGTGTGCCTGTCCATTTGATACCGAACCAGTTGCTTATTGATTCAAAGTCAGCCTGGACATGCTAAGCTCAGTAAGTGTGTTTAGCTTTTCTTTTTAAAAGGAATTTAGTCTGGGACATATTTTGCTTCTACTTTCGGTTTCTGAATAGCTCAGCTTTTAAATTCCTCTTTATGAAGATGACTTGTAATGTGCTACCTTTATAACAATGCCCAAGCTCTCCTTCAGCCTTTTCTTGGAAGCCAGTCACCTGAATTTGTGCAGGTAATGCAGTGAAGCTTTGGTAACTGAGATGCAGCTTTCCAGGAAGCACTTATGCATTTAATAATTCGTTCAGCAGAAATTTTTGATCCAGAAGACTTGTTTTATGCCCATAGCAAACAGTTCCTCTTTTCTTGGGCTTACCTGTAAATCATCCTTTTACCTAGACTGAATAGTCCTACAGGCTATTAAAAACCAGTAGCACTTCTGTACATCAGTGTTTGTGACTCCCTCCAACACAGTCTACAAAAATAAGAGTTGAAGCTTCTTTTTTGCTTTTTCTTTAAAAAAATACTTAGTTCAATGCTTATTCATTTTCAGTCCTTACTTCATAACTCGTTCTTTTCTGGTGTAACCATTTTTTAAAAATCTTATCCTTCGCATATGTAGCACAGCAAATGTACATCTATACAGTGGCTGCACTGTATGCCTGGAGGTGTGGGTGCTGCAGCAGGAATCACAGAGTTGCCATTCCCTGCTCACTTACTCCTGTGCACAGTCCCCTCAAACTCAGAGATAATTTGCCAATTGGCCCTGCTATTGATCCATTCTGGGGCTCAGTTCACAGGATGTCAAAAAGAGCACGTAGGCTTTAGACAGGCTTATTGAAGTACATGTGTATGTGCAACCCATATTAATAGCCACAGACAAGAAGAACAGGGTTTTAACAGGTGTTACTGAAGAAATAGTTGTACCTTCTTGCACTCCAGCAAATCATTTCTTTGCTAGAGCATTGAAGGAGGTTGCATTGTAAACTAGCTAGCCTTGGAGGCTACACCATTAAAGTTTGTGTACTTAAACATATACTCCTGAATAGAAATAGATACAAGAAAACAAATTTTTAGTATTTTAACAGGTCAATAGTTTGAGGCCAGGGAGTTAGTATAAATTACTGAAAATAATTGCACTTATTATTTGTGTGTATATATGTCTGTATTATTATGGAAATAGTGAGCTCTCCCATTTTCCTTGTTTCTTGTTATCAGAGGAAGTATTTTGTTTAAATAGTTCCTTAGATTTTTAGTCTGAGTTACTGATTCAAAGAGACACACTTAAAAGTTCTCAAGTATGTGATGCTGCAAGTTAACTTCTGTTTCCTACAGTCCTTTATGCTATGCTTTTCCACAGTCCTTTTGCGCTTTTTTTCAGACTTCTGAAGTGGAGGTCTTCTCCAGCGTGCTTGTTTGCTGCACTCTGTAAGGCAGTT